AATAACAAGTGTGGTAATGCGGCTGCATATTGTAATCATGTCCATCAAATTAAGAAAATTTGTTTCCTCGTGAATCATAGACACTTATAACTCATGTAAAGAGAACATAATTATTCCATCTCATCAGCATGTAGGATAAAGATATTCTGACGGCATCTTTAAAGTCTATTAGATCGTTCAGTTTTCATTTGATCCCTATAGATCCACCCCAATCGATCGACTTTACCATGATTGACCCATGAGACATACAAGTCAGGATTTGGAGTTTCATGGGAATAACTGTTAGCTGGGACTGATTATTTCACGGGGATAACTGTTAGCCGAGACTGATGGTATATCATCTTCCCCTTCGTCAATTCTATGATAGATTCTCTCCAACATTCACGTTTACATAAGCTAAGTGGAGGCTGTCTATACGAGAGACATCCTTTCCAATACAAACTTTTTCCATTTCTTTTCTTTTAAATGCATCACAAAAAACCACATAAAAAAATTAATTAGTGGTTTCGAATAGGCTATATCTTTTTTTTTCTAAAAAAGGAAATTTGTATGTTGATTGAGAGAGGCATTTTAGTAGTGATCCGGAAAGGCGTTTTTTTTAACTAATAAGACAATCATAATGAATATTCCAAACCAGTGTAAGAAACTATTTTAAATATGGTTTCAATTTTTTTTCAAAAAATTCTACGAATACTCTTATTTATGTTTCTAGTGGTTTTAATAATTTTATAATTTTAAATATTTATAAAATTCTTTTTGCCATTTATAAAAGATAAAGATTGACCAAATAGTCAAAAAAAATTAATGAAATAGTTGAAAATTACATGTGTTTCATTTTACCAATTTTCCCCTAAAATCAACTTTGATACAAATGCCCATGATAGATCTCAAATCCAACTAAAAAACAGGGTTAACATTTGTGTTAACGTGCCGGGTAAGTAACAATTGAATCGAATGTATATAATCTTCTATAGAGAATATAAAATTCAATTCTACTGTTTTAAATAAAACTATAGAAAACTTTAATCAAAATCATAAAAGTCTACCCTAATTCATAAAAAAACATATAATAAATATATTAAAAATCAAATTCTTCGAAAAACTATAAATGCTAATAATGAATACATTCCTCTAAAATCAGTTTTAAGTGTTTTAGATGGTCTCAGCTAATTAATGTTGAATGAATTTTTTGACATTACTCGCACATAATCGAGTCAACTAAAAAATCGTTATACTAATAAATATATACTCATCACAATCATATTGTTATTCAAAAATGTAGCTATTGCCGACGTATAGGATGAGCGATAGATGCAACCTTCCTCGTATAACCCCTACACAGAATTAAATTAAACATTTCTTAAACACTAATTAAATCAAAAGTACTAGATAAACACTAATTAAATCAAAAGTAGTAATAAATCTTAGTAATTAACTAATTTTAAATAAATACCCTCCTCCCTCGAATCAGGTAGTAGTTCCCCCTTCCCCTCTCTCTCTCTCTCTCTCTTGCGCGTTTTCATTACAACCGGCTTCGATTTTTCTTACAGCCTAGTTTTCGGTTTTGTCAGAACGTTTTTTTTTTTAATTTTTTTTTCCTGAATTATTATTTTTTCGTTAAAATTTGAAAGTTCGTCTTCTTCGTTCGATTTGAATATTCTTCGCCCACGGGGGCTCTTTCCCTCAGCAGATCTAAAAGATGAGCGTTGCGAAATCTCAGATATGGCAGCCATGCAAGAAGAAGCGATCCTGAAGAAACAATCAACACAGATCTATATCTACTAAACAGAGACATAGAGAGAGAGATATGGCTTCTTCTAAAACAACACCTTCGCGATCAACACCTTCTGGATCATCTTCAGGGAGTAGTAGTTCGATAAGTAGGACAAGAGTGGGTAAGTATGAGCTTGGGAGGACTTTGGGGGAAGGAACCTTCGCTAAGGTAAAGTTCGCTAGGAACGTTGAGAAGGGTGAGAGTGTTGCCATTAAGGTTATTGATAAAGAGAAGGTCTTGAAGAACAAAATGATCGCTCAGGTTTTTTTTATATAAATCAATTAATAAAAAAAAAAGCTCTCTTCTTTTGGAATAAAGATGTTAACTTTTGATTTGGGTTTTGTTCTTTTGTTAAGATTAAGCGTGAGATTTCGACAATGAAACTGATCAAGCACCCTAATGTCATCCGCATGATTGAGGTTTGGTCTGAATCTCTATATGGAACCTCTTTTTATGTATCTCTTTTCGTATAGTTGTAATCAGTAATTCTCTTTTGTTTAGGTGATGGCAAGTAAGACTAAGATCTACTTTGTTTTGGAGCTTGTTACTGGTGGAGAGCTTTTTGATAAAATTGTAAGTTTTATTTTATTTTAATTTGGTGAAGGTGTCTTTTTTTTTTTAATCAAGTAAAAGGCCTTTTGATTATCTGAAACTTTGGTGTATTAGTCAAGCAATGGGAGATTGAAGGAAGATGAGGCGAGGAAGTACTTTCAGCAGCTTATTAATGCAGTGGACTATTGTCATAGCAGAGGAGTTTATCATAGAGACCTTAAGGTTTGGATTTTTATATTATTATTATTTTTTCTTAAGGTTCTTCTTGTGAATAATGTGTTGAAACTTGTGGTTGCTTGCAGCCAGAGAATTTGCTTTTGGATGCAAAAGGTGCTCTGAAAGTGTCTGATTTTGGACTTAGTGCACTGCCTCAGCAAGTCCGAGTAAGCGCTGTTGATCTTTTTGATTTGATTACCTACTATGGGGGCTCAAAGTTGAGTTTGTGACTCTTCTTCTTTCTTTAGGAGGATGGGTTACTTCACACAACATGTGGAACACCCAATTATGTTGCTCCCGAGGTATTTATTATCTAACCGAGATTAGGCTTCGACTCTGTTTCTTTTTTTTTTCTCGTCACAGTAACCAGCTTTTGTCTCTATAGGTAATAAACAACAAAGGTTACGATGGAGCCAAGGCTGATTTGTGGTCTTGTGGTGTGATTCTCTTCGTCTTAATGGCTGGTTACTTACCTTTCGAAGATTCTAATCTCACGTCACTATATAAAAAGGTGTTTATACTTACATTCATTTTGCATGCTATCTGAAAAGAGTTCATGTTTTGCACTTTATCAGGCGTCATTTGGGTGCCTTTGTCAGTTGTTTTTAGGACACATAAAATGTATTATAGCATGAGTCTTTGTTTTTTTCTATGATAAACAGATATTTAAAGCTGAATTTACCTGCCCGCCTTGGTTCTCAGCAAGTGTTAAGAAGTTAATTAAAAGGATTCTCGATCCTAAACCAGCAACGGTATATTTTTCTTTAACCGTCTACCTTCGTACTAATGCTATGAGAAGAGGCAAAAAGCTTCTGCTGTAGTTTAATTGACACACAATATTTTTTTTTTAATTGTTGGACAGAGGATAACATTTGCTGAAGTCATTGAAAATGAGTGGTTTAAGAAAGGGTATAAGGCACCTAAATATGAGAATGCTGATGTCAGTCTTGATGATGTTGATGCAATCTTTGATGAATCAGGGGTAAAGCTAATTTTTTTTTTCTTGCAATTTCTTGCCTTGGATGATTTGCTTAGTTTTGTTTTGTTTATAGGAGTCTAAGAACCTTGTTGTGGAGAGGCGAGAAGAAGGACCTAAAAACCCAGTAACTATGAATGCTTTTGAGCTCATCTCAACCTCCCAGGGTCTCAATCTCGGTTCACTTTTCGAAAAACAAATGGTATACAACACTCTGATAAGTAATGAGAAGTAGCCTTATTCACAAAAGCTCAGTAACCAACCATTAGTTAGTCCTTATGCATCTTTGATTTCAGGGGCTTGTAAAACGAAAAACTCGATTTACTTCAAAATGTTCAGCTAATGATATAGTCACAAAAATTGAGGCAGCAGCAGGGCCTTTGGGGTTTGATGTCAAGAAAAATAACTACAAGGTTTGAATACTGTTTAAACATATTCACCTTTTCTACTGTATCCATCTGTTTGCTTCTGATTAGACCCTTCTACCATTTTTCATAAAATCTTTTAGATGAAGCTGGTAGGAGAGAAATCAGGGCGCAAGGGTCAGTTAGCAGTGGCTACTGAGGTCAGTGACCAGTGATCATTATCCTTTTTTTACTATGTCTCTTGAGCTCGGATGAGCCCTAGTTTTAAAATATATAAATGACATCTACTTTCAGGTTTTTCAAGTAGCTCCATCACTTTACATGGTTGAAATGCGGAAATCAGGTGGTGACACGTTGGAATTTCACAAGGTATTGCAAGAACTCTGCTCTGATTCTATCAAAACCAAGCTCGTTCTTGTTTCACTTGAGAAACTTACTGTTCTTGTACACTGATTTTTGACCCCTTTTTGTTGCCTCCTTTCGTTGTATTCTTTTTAGTTTTACAAAAACCTTACGACGGGTCTTAAGGACATTGTTTGGAAAACTATTGACGAAGAGAAAGAAGAAGGAGCTGAAGGTAAAGTATCTTCAATATTTAAATAATCTGATAGATAGATGAAACAAACAACAAAGAAGCAAAAAAATCTAAACACACAAATGTTGTTTTGTTTCTTCAAGTTTCAGGTGGTACTACTAATGGTACCGTGGCTGCTTCTTGATACAAAGGCGATAAACAGTCTACGTGTGATGTGCTTTTATATTTTTATTAGTACTGGGTGGTTTTGAAGTTATACAAAAGAAAGCGTTGAACAAGTGTGGAGTAAAGCTGAAAGTTTGAAAACTATAGTGGGGCAGTAATTTCTTTTTTTAATAATACCAAATCCTGTTTGATTGATTGATTGATTCCATGGAATGTTGTGAATACGAAAGTAAAAGTTATACAGATTTGGTTGGTTTTAAAAAATCGATTTCTACACCATCGGTTTTCACTTTTGACAGTGAGAAAGTCATTGTCACTGGGCGTATATAAATGCTTTAGTTAGGGTTGTTGAGGAAAGACTTTCCCATCTATAAAGGAACAAAGAGACCACACAAGAAGAATCTTGTTAAGACAAAAAGCAAAGATGAATGAGATATAACAATAATTATGGTATCAGTTACCAGAATACCAACGACTGCTGCTAACCATTGACATCTTAACTTCTTGCAATATATTTCATAGATAGGTTCAATCGACAATTACCAAACTAAAAAAAGATTGTCGGAATGAATTGAAGAGTCACTTTAGGAGCAAATCCACATTCATGTCCAAAAAAGTATATATGTTAGACGAAATGAAAGCTAAGTTTGAGATGATCGTATGAGAGGTTTGCTTAAAAGATAAGTAGACGGAGGACTGGGAGAGTATTGTGTTACTGAAGCTTAAACGCACACATGATCGGATCCAGACCTTTCTACTCAGCTCTTCTTTACAGACAGTCACACATACGGTATAAAGAAATCGTCGCAGGCATTGGAGAAAATGAGTTACTACCAACTCATCTTATCGAGATCATAGACAAGACTATCCGGGCGATCGTAACTATGATGATGACTTTGAGTGTTTGGTTCAGCTCAAGAAACAACAATTCAGCTTAGAAGAATATTTATTTTCTTTCTTTCTTTCTTAATCATAAACATAAAAGTTACACATGATGTACATACGATTTTCTGAGGAATAAATTTAACATTTTCAAAACATATATATGAAAGTTTAAGGATCATTCACAGAATTGTGGAAAATCAATGTCTCAGCTATAGGGTTGGGCAATTGGAGTCTTAATTGGACTTCGGTTTGTGTTCATTCAAGTTTCGAGTTTTTTTGGTTCATAACCTATATTCTAAAAGTTTAAGTCAAATTCGGTTTGAATTTAGAACCATTCAATTTATATTTAGTTATATGTCCAAAATCCGATTGAATTTGAAATAGTCTTGGTTTCAGCTATTAGTCAGGAAATCAATTCTAAGAATAACAAATATTTGATTAAATTCAATATATATAATATATTCCACTTTTTACAATAAATTTGTGTATTTGACTTACTTAAACCATATATTTTCCTTTAAAATAATTTTAGGAGAATCGTATATCAACCATACAAAACTCGTTTTTAAACTATACATAACAATATCAGACATATCATGATTATGGCAAACCGAAGTACATACATAATGTAATAATGTAATGTAAACAAGTTGAAGCTAACAACTGGAAATTCTACAAAAGTAAAAGTATGAAACACTATTTAAATTTTAAAAAGAAACATTATTTAAACTTCAAAAATCAAATTTCTTTCTTCAAAACGTTGTTAGTTGTATGAATTACATGTCGTTGGATATGAAATATACGACTTTGATTCAAACATAATAGAATATCTCTCTATATATATCTAATATCTCTCTACAAGCAACAGTGTCGTCTCTAACAAGTACTATTCTTCTTTTTCCAAAAAAAAAACAAGTAATACAGTGTGCGTGACTAAAAACTTATGTGAGTAAATTTCCCATGAAAAATTCACGAAAATATACTGTTTTCTTACAACAGTTCTTATTCAGAGTTCAACTGAAATTCAATGTTTGCGGTGCACGTGTGCGGTCCAACCAAGATAGTGAATATACGTTACCAGTTTTACTCATGCGTCAAGACAGTACATGACACTGTTCATATATATATATAAATATAATTTTTTTTTCATGATAACCAAAAATGAAGTTTCTGAAGGAGAAACAAAAGAAAGCGAGAAAAGGGAATTAAACGGATATATAATATTATATATAGTTTTGAGGTTTATTAAAACGCAAGATCGAAACCTGAAAATTGTAAATTGCTTTTTTCGCCGGCACCATCTACATGCATGGCTGTAGGAATATCAAGATCTCCGGATCCAACCCGGTTTTCCTCGGGTCGGGTTTCCAGCTCTCGAAATGACGTGTCAATGGCCGTGGTGGTGGTCCCTGTGGAGGGTTGGCTGTACAAAGCTGTAAGTTGGTGAAAATAAGGACAAGTCCTTGAGTCAAGTGGCCTCTTCTTGTTAACATCTTTAGTCTTTCTAAAATACTTGTTGATGTTTTCCCATTTCTCTTTGCATCTCTTGGCACTTCTCCTGTACCCAATCTCCAACATTTTCTTGGATATTCTTTCCCACAAAGGAACAGCTTTTGTGGATGATGATGGTGATGATGATAACGAGATGTCATCTTTACGATGATCATCATCATCATTCATGCTACTGATACTACGTCTGATGTTGATAAGAGCCAACACCTCATCCCTAGGCCATCTCTTGCCAAGATCACCTTTCTCATCACTCTTTGGAGGTTTTGGATTTTGAGTTTTGGTTTTTAGGGTTTTAGGTGAGGGTTCAAGTGAAGGGTTATGTGGAGTTAGGGTTTGAAGGGATGATGAAGTTTGACACTTTTTGCTGCCTTGAGGTTTTGATAAAACTAAGGAAGATGAGTCTTGAGAAGGGCTTGGGCTTTGAACCTTATGACTCCCATCATCATGGTCTGCGAACTTGGATATGAGCTTGATGATGCTAGTGTTTCTATCATTAGCCATGGCTTGTTCGTGTGCTCTAATCTCTACCTCTTTGTTAATCCTCTCTATCTCTTGCTTCTTCCAAGCTTCCTCTCTTGCTATTTTTTCTTCTTCCTTTTTCATCATATCTTCAAGAAGCTTCTTATGCATCTCCTCTTGTTGGGCTATCACGTTCTTCACAAGACCCTCACAAAACCCTTTCAACACACCAAACCTCTCCTTCTTTTTCTTCCTCTTCCTCTTCTTATTGTCTCTCATGATCATCATCAAGCTTGCTGTTGATGATGACTTCGCATCATCTTCCACGTTTCCCACTTTTTCAACATTATCGATGGAGTTTATTTTATTCCCCATTGATGATTCATCTACTTGATCATCACCCTGATCCTGCTGATCTGTTTTGTCCTCCAACAAGTCTTGTCCCGTTTCCTCAACGTTTAGTTTTCTCTCTAACGAACTGTTCATCTTGTTTTGGTTATCCCCAACTTCTGATGAAACGACATGCTCACCATCAGCATGACAATGATGATAAAACTCATCAACCTCGCTAAATAGCCTATAGTTTCCCTTGTTGTAATTGCTGATCATGTGATGAGGATTAGTGTTGTTGTTACTACTGAAATATCTTCTCTCCTCTTCTTCGAATTTCTCTTTGCATTCTTGTGGACTCCTCTTAAACCCAACTTCTGCCAACTTTCTACAGCCATCATAATTTCATAAACGACATAGAACCATTAATTATGTGATTATACATACACGTATACCAAAAAAATATACAACTATATAAACATCAGGAATTTCCTATATATACCCACATGTATACATTAGTTTCATCGTTCAGTTTATTAAAAAATGGAAATAAAATTTTAAGAAAATGCCATTTGTGTATATACCATGTACGTATTAATGACCAATCATTTGTTAACAATAAAATCAAAATTAAATTTCCCAAGTGTTTATTCGAAAGAAACATGATCTATATCAAATTATAACTGAGCGCGGATTTTGGAATTTTAGTCAAACTAATGTACACATACACTCATAAAAATATAAAAAGACTAATGCTCATGTCCATATGCATACACAGAAATATATATAAAAATTTGTTGATGCATATATTAGAACTATATTCATATGTGTATGTAATTTGTATTACCTAGAGGTGTGCTCCCATGTAAACTCAGGGAACCAATTCTCCACCGTAGATCTGAATCTAAGAAGGGCAAGAACTTCATCACTACACCATGGATGATGATGCTGGACGCCATCGTGATCTGTATGACCCAACCACTCCGTAGTAGCACCACTATCTTTGATGTCACGGTGATGATGATGATGGTGATGGTGAATGATCTTAGGGCCATCAAAGTTCAACATATGGGATTGGTGATTAGTGTTAAAAGAAGCGAATGAGACAGGAAAAGGCAGTGATCTTTCTGCCGACGGTTGATGCGGAGGAAGCGGAGGAGGTGGCTGTGGAGATGATGCTATGAACTGTTCGGTCTGCTCCGGTACTCCACCGTCAAACATTTTTTTTATATTCTGATTCTTCTTCTTTTGTTTCACTTAGCTATATTCACATCGAATGTCTCTTTTTCTCTCTCCATTTTGGTCTCTCTTTTTATATTGTTACCTTATGAATTTCGAGGGATATAAAATGAACTTTAGAAGAAAATATTTGAGGTTTGTATAAAGCCACTAATCGATAATTATTGTTTACTAATACCTCTTAACCATGGATTTCTTTTTGTGTTATTTCTTTCTGATTTTGGTCTATATTATTAGAAATGTTCATAGAACTAATTACAACATTTTTTGACATAAAAATTATAGTAAATTACAAAGAAGAGAGTGCTTTCCTGATTTTGTTCTATTAACTTTATGCAGAATATCAGTACTTTTCTTGAATTATTCGGAATATAGTTGCGAAATAAAACAATTGACTTCAAGGATATTTTTGAATTGCGGTCCTTTATCTGACGAAAAAGTTTGGATTCTATTATAGATGAAAAAGTAACGTATACTTATATGTTCTCTCGTTAGATAAAAATAAATAAATATATTAGATCTAGCAATACGTTTTTGTTATTATCGTTCCATATAAATATTATATCTAGAAATAATGAGATTACAACGCTATAA